TTTGCCATAAAAAGTGAGAAAATTGGAACAGGGAATTCTTTATCACCTTCTTTACAAAAAATGAATCTGAAACCGATCATGAACTGTTTTTCGGGAGCTTTCAGCCAGACTTCATGAATAACTTTGTAGATTTTCCCTGCAGTTTCTCTTTGTTCACTCGTGTAAGCATCTTCAATTTCCTCCTTTTCTTCTTGTGGTGGGCCGAAAAGAGCAAAACAGATTTTGATGATTCTCAAGCTTTCACTCAAATCCGTAACATCGTGAAATTGAGCACCATCGAATTGCAGATAGTAGAATTTCTGTGATTGAGCGGCCGTTTCTTTCCATTTCTTCACATCGTCTTGATCCCATGTTGACAGGTATTCACCGCCAAGAGTGTTACCCATTTGTCTGAAATTTATTTATTTATTTAATAGCAAGATAAGTACTCAAATCAATCAGAAAGCATAAAAAGTGAATTCAAATGAACTTGGAGATTGATGGCAGAAACAAGAACAACAATGGCAAACAATGAAAATAAGTTGGGCACAGTATGGCTATAACAACAAAAGCTCAATTTTGTGTTTCAAAACGAGTATATTGTCTCATAGATATTTTAGAGAAGCAGCTTAAAGGGGGGGGGGGTTTACAAATTTTCGGAGACACTGCAAGGCTTGGAGAAAAACAAGATCGTCACTCATCAGACACCTCAGCTAAAAGGCACTTATTTGAGAAAACTAAAACCACAAGCGACCACAAATGGAAAAAAGATCTAATTGTGTCAATCAGATCTAATTGTGTCAAGCGCTGAAGACGTCCTACGGTGGAGGAGATCCAGTCACTTCTCCTGGTGGAGGAGATCCAGTCACTTCTCCTGGTGGAGGAGATCCAGTCACTTCTGGTGAAGATGCGCTGGAAATTGATAAGATAGGAAGCCGATTTGAGGAACTGCTGTACTTGAGCGAAGATGAAAGTGAGCAAGAGGAAGAATTATAGATTAACAATTTATTTTTATTGTTTTTTTGTGCTTTTTATTTTGTTTTTAAATTTATCTGCAATTAAAACTCAATCGATCTAGACTGTGCTGAGGTGTCTGATGAGTGATGATCTTGTTTTTCTCCAAGCCTTGCAGTGTCTCCAAGCCTTGCAGTGTCTCCAAGCCTTGCAGTGTCTCCAAGCCTTGCAGTGTCTCCAAGCCTTGCAGTGTCTCCAAGCCTTGCAGTGTCTCCAAGCCTTGCAGTGTCTCCAAGCCTTGCAGTGTCTCCAAGCCTTGCAGTGTCTCCAAGCCTTGCAGTGTCTCCAAGCCTTGCAGTGTCTCCAAGCCTTGCAGTGTCTCCAAGCCTTGCAGTGTCTCCAAGCCTTGCAGTGTCTCCAAGCCTTCCAGCGTCTTCCAGCGTCTCCAAAAATTTGTAAACCCATCAAATCACTCTAGCCGGGTGATTTTTATTCTTTTTATAATAAAATCAGCGATATTAAAATAAAAAAACAGGTGGTTGCCGTAAAAATTTTTTTTTATCGTCACCCGGTCGCGATTAATTGATGGCAAAAAAAGAACAATGAAAATAAGTCCGGCACAGTATTGCTATATCAACAAAAGTTTGTGTTTCAAAACGAGTTTATTGTCTCATAGATATTTTAGAGAAGCAGCTTAAAGCTTAGAGAAGCAGCTTAAACTGTAACAGGTAACACTAAACAAGTAAAAGGTTCCAACTTTTTCGATATAACTCTATTGTACCGGATTTTCAATGAGTCAGAAATGAAAACAAGCGAAAATCATTCTTCTTCATCATTCTTCTTCATCATCTTCTTTGTAGAACCACCAGTAATGAGTGTTGGGAATATTGCTGTAATCGATTTCTTCCAATGTCACATTTTCAGGCTCACTTCCAGATGTGTTTTCAATGAACTTTTCGATTATTTTCATGGGTTCGCTCTCAAGGATTGCGACAAATTGAGAGTGCAAAGTTGACGTTTCTTTCATTTCATCGACAATGAATTCAAGTCCAGAGCGCGACATTTGTGCTTTCTGTCGCCGATCCACATTCATTCCGATAGCAAACTGTCGATAAGCTGGTTCGAAAAGTGGTAACGATTTCTGCAAGACATCGACAACTTTTGAGCGATTCGCTTCGTCAAACAATGGTTTCTCGGATCGAAAAGCGGTTAGTGTCATCGAAATGAAATCATTGTTCGTTTGAACCGAGGGACTAATGTTTTGAGAAAGTTTTAATAGCTGAGAAAAAAGATTGGAAGATTTGGACATTGAAGATTTGGATATTGAAGATTTGGACATTGTAAAAATCGATTTAGGAAGGCGAAAGGATGAAAGAAAGGCGATTTTTGTGACTTTTCTGTTGCAATGTTTCTTTTCCTGCGCAATAAAAGTGCGATCGGGGGTGCGGGTCACGCTTTAGCAGGCAATGTTTTGTAATTGACGTCATTTAGATGTCATTTTGGCAACACAGACATTTGGCAAACATTTTAGCAACACAGATGTGATTTTGGCAACACAGACACGTAAACCGATAAACGATAAACGCAACTTTGACACAGTTGTTTGATAAACAACTGTTGCTTTGTTGACAAATGCTTTGTTAACAAACAGTTCTAGCTAAGAGGTATAAATGCGAGAAAATTTGGTTCTTTTTATTCATGAATGGGTCGTTGTTGTGTTTTAGCCATATTGGAATCACCAACTCGTAATATGGATCGCTTCTTGATCTCTTCTTCTTCTTCTTGAACAAGAATATCTGATTGATGTCTCACTCCTTGTCAACTCACTCACCTGGTAAAGTTGAACGAAAAGATTTCGATAGAATTTTGTCACAAAAAGAGCGATGCGGCAATCTGCGGAAGAATGCAAAGTGGTGATCATTAGGGCATCGGAAAAAAGTTTCTAAAATGAAACATCGTGTAAATAGAGTTTTAAATAGCTACTTGTTTTTTTTTTGCTTTTGCTTTTTGAGAGTCTGTAGCTTTCTAGAGATAGCGCATAGGATAAAAAAAATCTGTAGCTCTGTAGCTTTCCAGAAATTTGCCCTTCATGCAAGAATTTATAAAATTTCAATGTAAACGCTTCAGTTTCAAATAGCTGTAAAAACTTTTCGAAAAGAGATATCTCAAAACGGTTTTTACCAATCGATCCGTCTTGAATTCAGCTTTAGGATGAGCTATAAAACGTCAAGATTGGACAAATTTAAGGTACTCTCCCAAAAAATCGGAAACGACTTTTCCCTCAACCCAATAGTATTTTAGTAGGCGTAACGAGAAAGATTGAAATGCAATGAAATATTTGAAAACACAAAACTCCATTTCTCTCACCATATTTCGTTCGATTCCATTTCATTTCATTTCTATATTTTTTTTCTTTTCTATAAATCGTTTTCAGGATGGTGTTCAAGAAGTGATGCAGCGAAAGACTTATTATCTTCCAAATAATGAAATGTGTGTGGTAATGGAGAGACCCGGAAAGACCACGATCAGCACTATTTTCAAGAATCAAGGCGGCTATGAGATGTATCAACAAAGAATTCAGGTTAAACAAGCCTTTAACTTAAAAACTACTTTACTGAGGGGGAAAGGATCGAAGGCCCAACCCTTTACTCTTTCCTTTCCAAAAGGATAATCAAATTCTTAACGTAAATTCAAAGTCTAGTGCATTGGTCTAAAGCTCATCATCAAGGAAAGTTGTTTTCAGGTGACAAACACTCCACCACTGAATGTAGCACTTGAGAGAACTGGTCAACTCTTGGGCTTGGATGGTCTCAATTTACAAATCTGTCACAGTCGATCAACCTTTAATCAGAATACCTTTGCCACAACAAAAGCTCTGAAACAAGATTCCGATTATTACCGTTTGATGATGAGCATTTTGTTGAGTGATTATGCTGATTATTTGGAGGATAATAACAATGATAAGTCGGATGAGTAATGAGTAGACAAAGCCTTATTTGATCCTTTTTTTGCTTATAATCAATAATGCTCATAATTTGTATTGTCTTTTCTTATTACATGGACATTTAAAAAATAAATATCACTCAACTCTTCCCTTTGCCAGTTCATTCGAAGACGATTGAGCTTACATAAAAATTAGGGAAGCATGGGAAATGGCATTTGCACTCTGATTTTCCTAAACGTGGGTTTACTTTGAGACATTCTTCTAGTTGGGCGCGTCCTTGGAGGTTAAATGACTCTGGACACTCTGGACAAAGCCTTATTTGATCCTTTTTTTGCTTATAATCAATAATCCTTGGAGCTTAAATGGCTCGGGGCAAAGCCATATTTAGGGCTGGGCTCGCGTCGAATCTTGTGAGCCTTGTGAGCCTTGTGAGCCTTGTGAGCCTTGTGAGCCTTGTGAGCCTTGTGAGCCTTGTGAGCCTTGTGAGCCTTGTGAGCCTTGTGAGCCTTGTGAGCCTTGTGAGCCTTGTGAGCCTTGTGAGCCTTGTGAGCCTTGTGAGCCTTGTGAGCCTTGTGAGCCTTGTGAGCCTTGTGAGCCTTGTGAGCCTTGTGAGCCTTGTGAGCCTTGTGAGCAATCCCTCTGCAGATCGCATCCGAGAGGTTACTTATAAGCCAAGAATAAATATCAGTCAACTTGGGGAATTTGTGGGGGAGAAGGAACCAAATTTGTCAAGAAAATGAACCAAATTTCTAGAGAAAAGGAATGTGTGACGTGTGTGTACTTTTAACGTTCGGTGACGTGTGTGTACTTTTTAAAAACTTTAACAATCTTTTCTAAAATCTTATAAACAATCTTATAAACCTTTAAAAGCTATCATAGGCGATAGGAAAAGAGTTGCGATCGTTTTTTAAAAGTTTACACACTTTAGAAAAGCTCACAGGTAAAGTTCAACATTGCGTTAAAGTTTTGTAGTTTCATTTTGTGAAGAGAATCATTTTTAAAATCATATTTTATACTTTATCACAAACTATTTATACCAGTAAAAGAGTCGTTTCAACAGAAAACAAAAAAAGTTTGTCATATCACAGAAGTTGTTTCGATGAAAAGCATCCTCATTCGTTTACAACTCGTCTTTCTTACTCTGAAAATTTTTCAATCATTATTATCGTTTTCGTAATGTTTAATCGTTTGATTGTAGAGTTGTAAAGTTGATTTTAAAGCTGGCAAAATATAGCTGTTAGACTATAGTAGAGAATGGAATAAAGAGTGCGGCAGAATGACGTACCGTAAACACTATAATAGTACCCGATCCCCCTCGTACAGTCGCGTGGTCGCAAAAGTTTTAATATTTCATTTTTTCAAAGCGCCCGTACTTTCAAAAAATGCGTCTTTGGTAGCAAAAAATAGCCCTGAATTTCAGCTATTTTTTAATATCTAAACGAGCATTGTTACATAAACCAGTGTCGAGAAAAACTCGTTCAAAGCTAGACTACGCAACACTCCGCACCGTCATTATGGGGATGGGGTCCAATTAGCTTTGGAGGCGTTTTTCTCGATACTGGTTTATGCTACAATGCGCGCTTAGGTATCAAAAAATAGCCCTGAATTTCAGCTATTTTTTGATACCTAAACGAGCATTGTAGCATAACCTAGTGTCGAGAAAAACTTGTTCAAAGCTAGACTACGCAACGCTCCGCACTGTCATTATGGGGGTGGGGTCCAATTACAGTATTTACGGTAATCAAAGGGACGTTGACGATCAGTAACTGATTGATTCTTGAGTTTCTAAAAGATGCGCTTATGATTTTTAAAACGCATCTCTAGGGAGCTGGTCAAAAATAGGTCAATACGGCAAAAATAGCCCTCCGCAGTGAAGTTTCTATGTGTTTCTTATTCTTATTGAATGCAGAATAAAATCATCTACATCTTGCATACTTTCGGATCACTTAAAACATAATTAATGTCAAGAAAAGCTCAGTTAACCTCTTTTCTAAGCCGTGCCAAACTACGCAACACTCCAAACTGATCTAATCAAATTCTAAACCCTTTAACCCCATTCTGACTGACCTTCTTCTTCGAATCCTTTCCCTTCTTCTCCTCTTTCTTATCCTCTTTCTTTTCCTTCTTCTCCTTATCATCCTTCTTCTTATCCTTCTTCTCATCTTTACTTTTCTTCTCTTCTTTCTTTTCTTTCTTTTCTTTTTTCTCTTCCTTTTCCTTCTTTTCTTTCTTCTCTTCTTTCACTTCTTTCTTCTCTTTCTTCTCTTCTTTTTCTTTCTTTTCTTTCTTTTCTTCCTTCTTCTTCTCATCCTTCTTCACTGATGATGATTCAGTGTTCTGAAAAGTATTTTATCAGTATTTTTGTTGATTGAATTGATACAGAAATTGATTATAGATCAAAAGTGATTAGTCAAGCTATTTTAGAAAATTAGGTAATTGAATAAGCAACTTAAGTAAGTGAAATCAACTTTTGAAACCAACATTTGAAATCAACAAAAGTAAGTTTAAAAAATGAATTTCCAAAGGATCAAAAAAGACTAAAGCTAACACTGAAAGACTAAGCTAACACTGAAAGACTAAAGCTAACACTGAAAGACTAAAGCTAACACTGAAAGACTAAAGCTAACACTGAAAGACTAAGCTAACACTGATCCAGAAATCTGAGCTAACACTGAAAGACTAAGCTAAACTGATCAGCTAAATTAAGCATCGAAGAACAAGATTGATGATATCTTTTTCTTTCAAACCTTTCCAGAAACCTCAGTCCATTCTTTTTGTGCTCGAGCCATTGCGTCAATGATTTGCGGGACGAGTGGATAGAAGTATTTGTTGTTTTTGTAGCGCTTTTCGTTGTTTGTGCTTAACGGTGAGCCGTTAGAGTCTAAAAATTGATTGATAAGTTGATTGAGAAATTGATTGATAAGTTCATTGATAAGTTGAAATATTTGATAAATAAAGTTGGATTTTGATAATTCAATATTCTGATAAGTATTTTGATAAATAAAGGATTCAATGGATAGATTTGAATCTGATTTTTGTAAGCATTAAAAGCAAATTCTGTTTATGCTCGCCTAACTCACTAAAATAGAAGAGTTTTCTGAGTAGGGCCCAGTTTCACCATCACTTAATACACCTTATGAAGCTAATACAGTGTATGAGCTTCATAAGCTTATTAGCTATTAGGTTGGCAAGTTATAAACGATCGTTTTTGGCGTAATGTGTTTTCTGAAGTGCTTATCCAATCGGCTTATCCAATCGGCTTATCCAATCGGCTTATCCAATCGGCTTATCTAATCGGCTTATCCAATCGGCTTATCTAATCGGCTTATCCAATCAAAAAACGGTTTGCTTGATTCAAAAGCCCTATCCTTAATCTACAAAATGGCTTTTTTGAATTTTTGAAAAATCTTTTATTTTAGAACTTTTTCAGGCATTTTAATGTAAGAGTTGAAAATCCTGGTTTCTAGCATTAGCTAATATATTTCTAGCAGCTAATATATTTTTGAGTGATTGCATACTTTTTAAAATAAAACGCTTCATCAATTACATAGTTTCCCAAAATTTCAGAACAATCCAATCGATCGAACCGTTCTCTTTCTTTTAATCTTTTTTTCTTTAATCTTGCTTAAATTCAAACGAAAATGATCCAAATGATTCAAATGATCTAACTTGCCAACCTAATAGATCATTTGAATCATTTGAATCATTTGAATCATTTGGATCATTTGAATCATTTGAACCATTTGAATCATTTGAATCATTTGGATCATTTGGATCATTTGAATCATTTGGATCATTTGAATCATTTGAACCATTTGAATCATTTGAATCATTTGGATCATTTGAATCATTTGAATCATTTGAACCATTTGGATCATTTGAACCATTTGAATCATTTGGATCATTTGGATCATTTGAATCATTTGGATCATTTGAATCATTTGAATCATTTGAATCATTTGGATCATTTGGATCATTTGGATCATTTGAATCATTTGGATCATTTGAATCATTTGAACCATTTGAATCATTTGAATCATTTGAATCATTTGAATCATTTGAATCATTTGAATCATTTGAATCATTTGAATCATTTGAATCATTTGAATCATTTGAATCATTTGGATCATTTGGATCATTTGAATCATTTGGATCATTTGAATCATTTGAATCTTAATACCTACCGTAAATACTGTAATAGTAGCCCACCCCTCTCGTTCAGTCGCGTAGCCACAAAAGTTTTAGTATTTCATTTTTTTCAAAGCGCCCGTACTTTCAAAAAAATGCGTCTTTGGTATCAAAAATAGCCCTGAATTTCAGCTATTTTTTGATACCTAAGCGCGCATTGTAGCACAAGCCAGTGTCGAGAAAAACGCGTCCAAAGCTAGACCACGCAACACTCCGCACCGTCATTATGGGGGTGGAGTACTTTAGTTAGTAACTACTTTAGTTAGTAGTTATTGGGTTGACAGGTTGTTCCAAAGTCTCTCCTTGACTTGTCTTTAGTCTAACTTGGCTTGACTCTTGGCCTAAAAGGCAGACCAAAGTCAAAATGATGACCGATGCATAATTCGATCTTGTCAACATCAATTTAAAACCAACTTGGCTTGACTCTTGGCTTAGTAGACAAAGAAAAGTCAGAGCAAAGTCAAAATGATGTTCAAAGCTAGACTACGCAACACTCCGCACCGTCATTATGGGGGTGGGGTCCAATTAGCTTTGGAGGCGTTTTTCTCGATACTGGTTTATGCTACAATGCGCGCTTAGGTATCAAAAAATAGCCCTGAATTTCAGCTATTTTTTGATACCTAAATGAGCATTGTAGCATAAACCAGTGTCGAGAAAAACTCGTTCAAAGCTAGGCTACGCAACACTCCGCACCGTCATTATGGGGGTGGGGTCCAATTACAGTATTTACGGTAATACCTATTAGGCTAATACAGTGATGGTGAAACCGGGTCCAGAGCTGAAATTCAGAACAATTTCACCCAATAACCTAATACATTACTAAGCCAGGATCTAAATATTCAAAAACTTATTTATATTCAAAGCTTTTTATATTCAAAGCTTTGTCCAATATTCATCTTCAAAAACCCTTACTAAATACCTAGTAAATTGCTAATCAAAGATCTAAATGTGAAAAAAAAAAAACGACAACGAAACGACAAGGAAACGCAAAATGTCAAACACTATCTTGTAAACGGAGCAAATGCAATGAAAATAACCCGGGGAAACATCTCTCTTTGTGTTTTTTTTTCTTTCTTTCCTTTGTTTATCAGAAGAATTTACTCCCGAATTCCGGAGCCACGTCCCAAAGAATGTAATAAAATAAGGAGATAAGGGAAATCCACCTATCCACACACCAACAATAAAAATCGGGAAAGCAAAAACTGAGCTCAGAAAGGGTTAATTTGAACAAAGATCACACAAAAACTGTGAATTAGATTGTTTAGCTTCTCTTTAAATGTATTTCTAGGATTTTGAATGTATTTCTAGGATTTTAAATGTATTTCTAAGGCTTTAAATGTATTTCTAAGGCTTTAAATGTATTTCTAAGGCTTTAAATGTATTTCTAAGGCTTTAAATATATTTCTTAAGGCTTTAAATGTATTTTTAAGGCTTTAAATGTATTTCTAAGCCTTTAAACATATTTCTTAAGGCTTTAAATGTATTTCTAAGGCTTTAAATATATTTCTTAAGGCTTTAAATGTATTTCTAAGGCTTTAAATGTATTTCTAAGCCTTTAAATATATTTCTAAGGCTTTAAATGTATTTCTAAGGCTTTAAATATATTTCTTAAGGCTTTAAATGTATTTCTAAGCCTTTAAATATATTTCTAAGGCTTTAAATGTATTTCTAGGACTTAAAGAACAAGATTAAGACTGGACTTGACTTGACTTTAAGACTTGACTTCAACGATTGACTAGTGCTGATTCAAGGGCTTGTAAAATGAGTTGTATAAGTCCAATCGGAAAGCTTTTGGTAGAGAAATGTAGCCAAGATTAACGGCTACAATTCCCTTATATAACACTTGGTACTTTAAAGTAAATTAAGCGTGCACTACCTCACCAAAAACGTTGTCCGGATAATTTTGAGACACTGCGCTTAATGCATCTTTTTGGGCTTTCTAAGAAAATAAATAGTTAATCTTTTTATTTTATTCATATGTTTATCGTCTAATTATTCATTTATAAATGAAAATTTCAAAAAAAGTGACTTTTAGAAGGACGATAAGACTTTTCTGCCAAACCAATCTACAGAATGGTCCAGAATGGCAACCCATTTTCAGAAAAGTAGCTGGAAAATGTGTAACGTATTTTAAAAGTCTCAAATGTTCTCTAAAGATTTTGAAGCCCTTAATCTTGGCTTTATTTATCTGCTAAAAACTCTACAATCGGATCTATGCAGCCTATTTTACAAGCTTTCGAATGAGCTCTAGTTGGCTCTAGTTGGCTTCTCTAGTTGGCTTCTCTAGTTGGCTTCTCTAGTTGGCTTCTCTAGTTGGCTTCTCGAGTTGGATAAATAAAGCCAGCAGATTAAAGGCTTCAATTCTTCTTTTCAGCTTAGAACGAGCTATTGGGACGGGGTATTGCTGGTCACCCTGTAGTTTAGCCAATCGTTTGTCATTTTTTAGTGGTAGTCACGCATTTAAGAAGTACAAGCTAGTCGGTTATCTAATAGTGTTAAAACAAACAAAACAAAACCCTACAATTATTCAATTTTCCATATTTCTGCTCATTCTGTACATGCCGCACTTTGTACTTTTGTCACCTTACCGAGAAAGAGAATCCTCGGAATGTATCCTCCATCAGGAGCATACTTGTCATCTTCTGGTTCACCATCATCTTCAACATTCACCATCACGAATTTCTTTGACAACTCGACGAGATCTTTCGTGTTTTGCGAGGATTTGAACTCGCGTTTCAACGCTGAAAATTCAGAGTTATCTTTGTCACGACAGGATCTTAATGAAGTGTTTGAGGCTTTCTTCTGGTTGAAGTCCAAGACTGTCTTTAGGCTTAAGTCCAAGACTATCTTCTGGTTGAAGTTCAAGACTCTCTTCTGGTTGAAGTTCAAGACTATCTTCTGATTTAAGTCCAAGACTATCTTCTGGCTAAAGTCCAAGACTATCTTCTGGTTTAAGTCCCAGACCATCTTCTAGTTTCCGTCCAAGACCATCTTCTGGTTTAGATCAAGTTTAAGCTTGGTTTTTGTCCGAGTAACTTTTAGGCCAGGTTTGACCAGCTATTGACCAGCTATTAGGCCAGATTTGACCAGCTAGAACTCTGCCAAGACTGTCTTCTGGTTTCTTCTGAAAAAGTCGGTTTTAAAAAGCAAATAACAGAGATGATCTCCCATTTTAAACAAATTTCAACTCTTTTTAAAACTCACACGAGCACGCTCCACACCAAGTTTTATGGATGAGGAAGAAGATCGGTTTGTTTTGCTCTTTCGCCACCTCGACAGCGTTTTCCCATTGAACCCAGTCGATATCGCCAGCGAAACCTAGAGATTACTAAAGTAAACAATATCTAAAGTTTACTGCGTAATAACTGTTATACTATGCTTAATTTTATACTCTCTAGCTTAAAGGAAACATCAACTTTGACAGATTCAACTAATGCAATTTGATTTCTACAATTTTTCCATGAAAACCCATTCTTTTTTTGGTCCCATTTGGTCCCATTTGGTCAATTCTTTTCTTTACATATAAAAATAATAAGAAGTTAATCCCAGAAATCTCAGGAAATCCCGAAATCCAGGTTACCTGGATGGGATAGAAAGATGACTGGAGAGGTTGTTTCACTCAATTTTTAAAAATTCTAATTCTTACCAGCTAACGGTTTACCATTTTTTTGACAATTATATCAGTTTTCAAAGCTAACGGGTTACTTGGATTACAAACAAGCTAAAGCTAACAGTCTAAAGCTAGCATTCTAAGCTGACAACCTAAAGCTAACAAACCAAGCTAACAATCTAAGCTAGCGATCTAAAGCTGACAATCTAAAGCTGACAATATGCTAACAATCTGAAGCCACAAGCCAAAGCATCGCTTGACACTCAAGAAAATCTGCTTACCAATTATAACAAACAAGTTATCCGCTTTATCGTTCGCTTGCAACTTTTTCGACTTTAATTTTCTAGTATTGTACCTCAAAACTTACTTTAGACTTAATAAACTCTATTCAAATCATAGAATTAAATTCAAATAAGGTAGATATTTAGATTTAGATTCAAATAAGGTATCTAGGTACCTCCAGCATAGCTCTAGAGCTATGCTGAAGAAGAGAGCTATGCTATGAAACAGCTAGAGCTATGCTGAAACAGCTGGGTTACTTCATTTGAAGCTATGATGGGATAGAAAGATGACTAGAGAGGTTGTTTCACTCAATTTTTACAAATTCTAACCCTTACCAGCTAACAGTTTACCATTTTTGCACAATTATTTCAGTTTTCAAAGCTTCACCCACCATTGCTGAGATCTTTCTCCTTTTTCTCTTCCTTTGCCTCTTCTTTCTTCTCTTCTTTCTTCTCTTCCTCCTTCACTTTCTTCTCTTCTTTTTCTTTCTTTTCTTTTTTTGCGAAAGTCGATGTGATTAAGAGAAAAGTGATCGTCAATAAAAGAAGATTTCTCATTCTTACCCTAAAAATTTTCTGAAAAATGTTTAATCTTGAATTAAAACTGGATTAAAAATACAATAAAAAGGAGTATTTAATCTCAAAATTCTCAAAAAAGCGCAAAAGATCAAATTGTTTTCAGAAAAAGAAGGGGTTTGTCATTTACAATTTTCGTGTGTGGCGTGTGTTAAAGGAGCTTTAAAGGAGCTTTAAAGGAGCTTTAGAGAAGCTTTAAAGGAGCTTTAGAGGAGCTTTAATGGAGCTTTAAAGGAACTATAAAGGAACTATAATGGAGCTTTAAAGGAGCTTTAAAGGAGCTTTAAAGGAGCTTTAGAGAAGCTTTAAAGGAGCTTTAGAGGAGCTTTAATGGAGCTTTAAAGGAACTATAAAGGAACTATAATGGAGCTTTAAAGGAGCTTTAAAGGAGCTAAATAGGAACTTAAAGGAGCTTTAAAGGAACTATAAAGGAACTTTAAAGGAGCTTTAAAGGAGCTTTAAAGGAATAAAGTAATTGGATATAAAATTGGAATCTTTTAAATGTTTTAACTTTATATTTAACTTTATATTTGCTTTATGAAGAAAATGAAGAAGTCAAGAAGTCAATTTGGAAAGAAATGAAGTCAATTTTGATAAGATTTTAAGCCATTACGACAGCGGGACTAATCTTTAACCTTTTTTTTTTGATTAAAACGTTTTTGCTACATTTGTGGCATCTGTTTTCACTAAACTTTCGCTAAAATCGCTAAAGTCAATCGTTTTTACAAAATCTCCATGCAATTTATGCCCCCTTTTTCTAACAGTCTTTCTAAAAGAAAACTTTAATATAAGTAATAGTACAATTGACAATTGAGTACAATTGATTGATTATATGACACCACAATTGATTATAGATGGCTGGGAGTCTTGTGTCCTAAGCAAGAATCTTTGTATCCTAATCAAGAATCCTTGTATCCCAAGCAAGAATCCTTGTATCCTAAGTCACGCCTTTGATCCAACCGCCTAGAAAAGCTAGCTCTTTTACCTGAGTTTTATATTTGCTTTTTGTCAAATTATTCATTTTGAATAAATAGATACTTTTTCATTAAACAACCTTGCAAATCAAATGCAAAATTGATCAAGTCAATGCCAAGTTAACTCATTCAAATCTCGCTGTTTTTTCATTTTAAATACGAGTTTCTTTATCTGGTCACCAGCTGAAAAATCCCCTAACAGCCGGACGCGTAGCCGCCATGGCGCAGTCGAGAGCACCCTGGTCTACGGCCCCCACGACCCGTAATGCCCTCGGGTTCGGCTCCACTAGTGCCATCCAATCTTGATTTTTCAATATTTTATTTTAAATTGTATATTAGATTTAAACTATATTATATCTTGAGCCTTTTAAGATAATTTTAGTGTATTTGACCCAAAGATGGCTGAGAAAAAGCCCAGAGAGACAGACAGACGGACGGACAGACAGACGGACGGACGGACGGACGGACGGACAGACGGGGGCGGGCGGAGGGGGGGGCGACGGACAGACGGACGGACGGACAGACGGAGAGACGGACGGACGGACAGACGGAGGCCAGACGGACGGACACGGCCAGAGGACGAACGGACAGACGGACGAACGGAAAGACGGACGGACGGACAGACGGACGACGGACAGACGGACAGACGGACAGACGGACGAACGGACAGACGGACAGACGGACAGACGGACGGACGGACAGACGGACGAACGGCCAGACGGACGAACGGACAGACGGACGAACAGACTCTCTTTTAGATAATAGATTGTAATCGTAAATTTATCGACAATTTTCAGATAAAGCCAGGCATTTGTCAAAAAGTAAAGCAATTTTTAGATTTCTAATGAAAATTAAGCCTACTTGATCGCACCAAAAGACAATTCGGAGGCTAAGCTCGATCCCAGGTCCCCTAAAAACTTTTTCCTTCTCTAAAATGTGCACTTGAAATCTTTGTCCCGAAACTCTTCCACAAAAAGACGAATTTTTCCCCAAATACAAGCATTTCCCGGTGTTATTTCCCCAATCGATTCACAAAATTATGCTCGATTCGGGGGGGGGGGGGAAATTTTTTTTGTTTGCCTCGCCTCTTCACTTGCCCCATTTTCCCTTCAAAAAAAAAAGGCGAGGAGGTCACAAATCGAATAGATTTGTCGCTGTAAACAAGGTTGTTGGGGAAAAAGTTGTTTTAAAGGGGGAAAACAATTGTTTTAAAGGGGAAATAGTTGTTTTAAAGGGGAAATAGTTGTTTTAAAAGGGGAAAAAGTTGTTTTAAAGGGGAAAAAGTTGTTTTAAAAGGGAAAAATATGATTTTATGCTCTTTCAGGATGCACCATTTTTGTTTTGTAACAAAAAGTATTCAGCTGGAGTGTTTGGATTATAGGGTGGATGAACTAGATGAACTACCGTAGGCTTGGGAAAGTGTACGCTCATTCGATAAACCATCACCCTGAAATTTCGGAGTATAAAATACTATTTTGTGCTATGAGCGTCGAAATAGCGTAATGAAATGAAGCTTTCGAAGCGAAGCACAAAAGTTGTTTTAAAGGGGAAAGAAGTTGTTTTAAAGGGGAAAACAATTGTTTTAAAGGGGAAAAAGATGTTTTAAAGGGGGAAAACAATTGTTTTAAAGGGGAAAGAAGTTGTTTTAAAGGGGAAAACAATTTTTTTAAAGGGGAAAAAGATGTTTTAAAGGGGGGAAAGTTGTTTTAAAGGGGGGAAAGGTTGTTTTAAAGGGGAAACAATTGTTTTAAAGGGGGAAAACAATTGTTTTAAAGGGGAAAAGTTGTTTCAAAGGGAAAACAATTGTTTTAAAGGGGAAAACAATTGTTTTAAAGGGGAAAACAATTGTTTTAAAGGGGAAACAATTGTTTTAAAGGGGAAAAGTTGTTTCAAAGGGAAAAATTGTATATGTTGTGTCCGATTTAGATTGAACTTATCGCGGACGTCCGATTTAGATTACAGTCTATATCGAACGTCCGATACAGATCGAACAATAATAAACGTGCTTAAGCGTTCTTAAGCGTTTTTTTTTTTGCAATTTTCTGCGCATTTCAAAGAAATTTTATTGTCTTTTTTTGGATGGAATTTTTTGTTTTCTTGTTTTCCTATTAAATGCTGCTTTTTTTAGAGATGGAGGACCTTTTTGACCAAGAATTTGGCGTGTCTTTACAAAAGAAGAAAAGAGGACAAATTCGGTTCTTTTCCAATATCGGGGGAGCGGTCCGATTATCGGGGGAGCGAAAGGAAAATCGGGGGAGCAAATTTTGCCCCCTCGAAAAATGCATTTCTGGGACTTTTATTTTAACTGCAGCGTTTTTTTTTTAATTTTTTTGGCAGCGCTACATATGTCCTATATTATCCAAAGTACTGCCATAAAATCCGCGAATTATCGACTCGAATTCCTCTTGAATGCTTGGGGACATTTCGCCGTGCGCAAGTGTCACATACCCAGCAAAATAGATCTTTTCCCTTTGAGCGGACTTTCATCGATTCGCCACAGTTGCAAATCCACGACTGGATGACTCCTTTGGTGACGAAATAATCGATTGCCGTCGATTCCTTGAACGCACAAATATCGGAGAAGCGCATCGTCGTTAAAGTTTTAAAAAAAACGTTGCAGTTAAAATAAAAGTCCCAGAAATGCATTTTTCGAGGGGGCAAAATTTGCTCCCCCGATTTTCCTTTCGCTCCCCCGATTTTCTTTCCGCTCCCCCGATAATCGGACCGCTCCCCCGATATTGGAAAAGAACCACAAATTCCAACAAATTCCAAGATATCACCATGGAATCAGAAGAAATCCATTTGCCGCAATGCTTGGTAAATCCTTGTGAGACGGACTTCCTTGCTATTGCTGATGTGCCGGAACGTTCAACTGCCTTTCGTGCCGCCATCGGTGATTCTTCTATTCACGGGAAACAAGGTAAGTAACTATAACTTTATTTCATTTTTTGCGTGTTCCATTAGGCCATAAACATTGCTTGTGTGCTGGAAAATGCTCATCCAATCGATGTTCGTGCAAAAAGGATGGCCGACTCTGCAATTCAAGATGGCACAATGGCCTAAGCTGCAAAAATAAATAGAAATTTTTAACTCGTTCGTTGTTGTTGTTGGTTTTTTGTTGTTGTATGTTGTAATTTCGCATGTATTCTGTTAACGCTAATAAATTGTTTCATAGTTGGGTTTTCTTTTCAGAAAAAGACAGTAACAGACCTTTGAAAAATGCAGAAAACTACAGAAAACGCTTAAGAACATATATTAAGCGTGTTTATATTATTGTTCAATCTATATGTCGTAGCCGATTATGAATGAAATTTTTTGGTAAATCTTTCTAGTAGAGCAACCCTTTAATGTATGAGGACAATATTATATCATCCTGTAGCGAATTCAATTCTGCGTCGATTGGTACCAAATTTGTGAGTTTAGGTTAAAAATTACCGGCGCTACAACGTTTCATTCAAAATCGGCGGGACCCCCGTAGCCGATTATGAATGAGTGGGTCTAGAAGCGTCCAACCATCAAGTATTTGGTATCATTCAACGCAGAATCATTAATAATTATGTTAAATTTTTTAAATTAGAAAGATTTGATAAAAGAGAAAAAAAATTAGAGCAAAAAAACTGTTTGTTCAAGAGGAAACTTTGAGGCCCCATAATTTTTTTTCTTTTTATCCAATCTTTTTAATTTCAAAAATTTAACATAATTATTAATGATTCTGCGTTGAATGATACCAAATACTTGATGGTTGGACGCTCCTGGACCCACTCATTCATAATCGGCTGAAATTCATAATCGGCTACGACATATTGGGTTGGGGAGTATGACTCGGCGCCAAACTTTAAAGGGACTTTTTGCACACATAAAGCCTTCTTTAAATATACGTTTGGTTTCATCAAAAGGATCCACTATTTCTCTACAAAATGACTTTTGAGAGATTCCACAAAGCTTTTCTTTCGTGGAGTTTATGGACTCCCAAACACAGCTAGTCAAAATGGCAAAGAGCCCGACTCA